ACACAAGCACCTCGCCCCCCCCCCCCCCCCCATTCCCATAGAATTGAGGACAGGGGAGTAGACTGAACAAAGAAAAATTAGAAGTGAGGACCAGGGAAGCTGGTCCAGTCGCGTTCAGGGTAATTTTTCTTTACGTTGTGGTTTGGTTTGAACTACTCTGTGTGATTCTGTCTCCCCTCCTACTAAAACAGAAGGTGAGGGCCCACAAGAGAGCTTCAAAACCTTGCGTCTACAGGCACTGGTTAGAGGACAGGGGAGTAGACTGAACAAAGAAAAATTAGAAGTGAGGACCAGGGAAGCTGGTCCAGTCGCGTTCAGGGTAATTTTTCTTTACGTTGTGGTTTGGTTTGAACTACTCTGTGTGATTCTGTCTCCCCTCCTACTAAAACAGAAGGTGAGGGCCCACAAGAGAGCTTCAAAACCTTGCGTCTACAGGCACTGGTTACAAAAACTCCCCCCCAAAATCCTGGCACCCAGATTTTGGGAATTTCACTGCCACCATCGAGTGCTTTGATTCCCTAAAAAAAAAAAAACACAACACTTGAAATCACCTCCAGGGGCACCTCAAGAGCTTGAAAGAGAAAAAACAAGCTGCAGTCTCTGGCAGCTGACCCGGCAGTCTGAGGCATGCAGATACACACAGACTGACCTTCCTTGAGTCAAATCACACAGACTTGGAAGGTCTTGACTGACCTTCCAAGAGTCAAACCACCACCTTAACAGAAGTGATTTCTATTACAAAACAAAAGATAAACTTGATAAAGAACACTTGGCTGCTAGATGTTACAGAGCAACTGAGGAAAACAAATTAAAACAGAAAAATCTCAGCACAATGCTTAGATGGTAAGGGGGGAAGGGAGACAGAATCACACAGAGCAGTTCTAACTAAACCACAACATAAAGAAAAATTACCCTGAACGTGACTGGACTCGTTTCCCTGGTCCTCACTTCTAATTTTTCTCTTTATTCGGTCCGCTCCCCTGTCCTGAATTCCATGGGAGGTCATGGTAGTCTTGCCTGAGTTTAAATCATTGTGTGTGTCTCAACCCCAATTATCACCTAATATCATTACCTCAGACATTATCCTCCCCCCCATCCCTCCTCTGATCTAAAATCTAATTTGTCTATTTTATGTGTTCACTTTTTTTGGTATATATGGTTATGCCAATTTTCTTCCAATTCGATCTGAGGAAGTGGGTCTGGCCCACGAAAGCTCATCACCTAATAAACCATCTTGTTAGTCTTTAAAGTGCTGCATAGTCCTGTCTTTTGTTTCAGCCCCTGGTGTTACTCTCCCAGGCAAAGAAAGCAGGCAGGGAATCTATAGGCAATTCAAACTCCAAGCCTCTATCCCAATTGGTTCTCCTGGCCTGGCCGACGCCTTTGGTAGATACCTGAGTTACCCCTTAGTCATGGGGTGCTGGTCAGCACTCCTCTTGTTCATGACTGCTCCTCTGGCTGAGTTC